TTGTATAATACTGTATAAGTAGTATTGTGTAATGAACTCAAACCATTGTGTATTTAACTCAGATTTTGCTACAGTAGGCTCCATTCTTAACTATGGGTTGTCCATAAACCAGGCATTCTTAACCCAGGGACGACCTGTATTAAAAATCATACATCCTCTGCTCAGAAAAGTTGCATAATTCTCCAAGCCTGTTTTGACATCACAGTATCACTCCCTGTGCTACTTAAAAACTGAAAATAACTAAAAATAAAATTATCCCTGGATTGCTAAAGAAAAATGTTGCCTGCTCCTGCACCAGATTAATGATGGAATCACATGGTTAAGATGAAGGACTTAATTTAATTCATTACTGGGGCATGACTTGTGCAGTAGCTTGTGTATTCGCTGTAAACTAACTCTCTTCCTGAACAAGTAGCTTTTGTCACTAACCATACCTATAAGAGTGAGAGGTTTTCAACATTCCTTTTTTCAAAAAGAGTAAAAAAGTATCTGGCAGATGGTCTAGTAAATCATTTCCCACTGTACGATTCCAAGTGTCTTACACCAAACAAACTGTTATTCTGAAAAGCCTATTATTTGTACATTAATATAACCTGGACTAGCCTAGACTGAACCTATTTACTCATCACACAGCCTTCTGATTCAAATTAAACTTGGCACTGTGTCAAGAGCATGTGATATAAGTGCACCAGACTTATTTATGCATCTTAGATAGAAATAAACGTAGTTCTTTGAGTACTGCTTTGCACAGAGCTCTTAGGTGGATTTATATGTATTAGATAAAAGTGGTTAAGTTGCTTTTATCCCTTTCTCGGCTTTTCATGTTTGTTGACTTTAATAAAAATTAGAAGCAAGTAACATCTTCTTTTAAGCCTTTGGGATATATATGAAATCCACCCAAGTTCTGGCTAATTTTAAAGAGATGTCCAGAAAGGAATGATAGCTTTAAGCTCTGTTACGAAAATACAAATGGAAGGGTTACAGCAATTTGGCAGCCAAAAAAGCAATTTACAGTTTGCCAACGAATCCACAACTATGTGTAGACAAGCCGATCAAGAAACTATGGAAAGATAATGGAGCTAGAGGGCAAAAGAGAAACTCTTTTAATCTGGTCTCCAATAAAGTTCCTTAGTTTCTTTGCCTGAGCCAATAAAGCTTACTGGGATGAGGTATCTGCCTTACTGTAGCTTTAGGATGGCTCAGGGAGAGTTATAAAATTCCTATAGATTCACAGCAGCTTGCATAAAGTTCACTCAATTCAATTCAGTTTATTTCAGCTTCTAAAATGAAGCAGAATAAACAACCAATAATAAATCCAAACCAATCACTGATGGATTTTACTTTACTGTCCTGTGACAAAAAAAAACCTCAGCAAACACAACATGCCCATACAATTCTAGTCAGCAAGAAGGGGGTATTTTCACTTAGACTGCACCATCTGCATCTTCAAAGGTTCATGCAATTTGATACTACATCAGCTAGAAATGATAGTTACATTTCTAAGATTACAACTTGACTTGAGTGAAAAAATGATAATTAAAGGTACAATCTTGTGATCTCTAATGTCCCAGTTTCTTGGGCTTGATCAGTTTTTCTTTTCCAAGTTTAGACATGTGATTTCATTTTGTGAAGGGAAAATGCGATATTAGATTCCATTCTGTATTATCCATTCTCCTCCATAGTTGGTGCTTCCAAAATGACAATAAAGTAATGAAAAAGGGGTATGGGAGAGATTGACGATCTGAGATATTCAAAGTCCTGCTATCTTTCATCATGATTCCAAACCAGAGAATAACTTACAACAGTTCTTGAGGTGATTTGAACGATATTCTTCACAGAAGAGAACAGGGCTTTTTATGTTTTAATTTTTAAAACACATTTTTAATTCTATTTTCCTTTTCTTTCCCCTAGCGTGTTCTGAATGTATAGCTACAGTACGTTTAATATTTTCTTAGATGAAAAAATTAGAATAGCCAAATTGCCCTGAAAGGCTGTTTTCCTTAATTCTGACTACAATTACAATTGTATTTGCTTGCTCAGCCAGAAGACATTACAACATAAATATATGAAAAGATGTACCAACTAGATGCAAAGGGTTCTGTTTGCTGAGGTCATATTTCAATAAACAGAATTAAAATCTTCCTGCTCTGAAGCCTTTGGAAACCAAGTTACTTAAATAATACTTTTGATATTATACTATCCAGAGTCTATGTCAAGATAAAGCCACCTTTTCCATCTCCAGAAACTCCCATACCTAAATAAAATACTGCAAACTCGTGTGTTATCTTAAGAAATTTAGAGATTTTGTAATATTACTTTATTTGGGTCGGCCAAGCCTAGATGTGATAAGCTTTGTCTAAAGACAGATTTCTTTGGTTGTCATTACAGTTGTCCCACAAGTTACAGTGGTACCTCTACTTACGAACGCCCCTACTTATGAAATTTTCAAGATACGATCAGCTCCGACCCCAAAAATTTACCTCTACTTACAAACTCACCTCGACTTACGAGCCATTTTCCGCCTGTGCCACGTGGTCCGTGGCCATTTTCCCGCCCGTTCCACATGGTCCGTGGCCATTTTCCCCCCGTTCCACGTGGTCCGCGGCCATTTTCCCGCCCGTTCCACGTGGTCCGCGGCCATTTTCCCGCCCGCTCCGCGTGGTCCGCGGCCGTTTTTCCAACCCTGACATGTGGTCCGCAGCCA